GGAGCCCCGATAATGCGACTTCATTGGGAGCCCCGATAATGCGACTTCATTGGGAGCCCCGATAATGCGACTTCATTGGGAGCCCCGATAATGCGCTGTCGATCAGTATCTACCTATCCCAAAAGAATCCTGAAGGGACGTAGAGCCGAAACCTGACCCTAAACAGGGCAGACAGGCCCTATAATCGAGTTCCCTCGAATGCAAAGCATGTACTCCGTTCAAGGGAACTCTGCTCGCTGCTGCTCCAATCACCCCTCCGGAGTAAAGAAGTCACCCCCTAGCTAAGAAAGGAGTCAAAAGGTCCTACACCCCCTTTCGCTATTTTCTAAGCCATTTGTATACTTTTAAGGAATTTTAATAAATTTAAATTAACAAAACCCCCCTTTAAAGTGGAGAAACCCACTGGCTCACATCCACCGGCTAGGGGTACGCTACGTGACCCCTAGGGCGTACCGTGGCAAATGTGTTTCTCTCTCCGGCACACCTTAACTATTTATTTTGAATTTATATTATATAAATACCAAATAAATAAATTTAGTTAGGGAAAACTCCCGTCGCTGCTCCCAACCCCTAAAAGAGGGTAAGGGAACAAGCTTGTACCTTCTTCACTCTAATTCCCTTTCCCTTTCCCTATCTAGGAAATTTTTCTGTATTTTACTGTATTCAATTTACAAAAATTATCTTTTTGCAAGATATACCCCCTTTCTTACTTTACATATATTTATATTCCTTAGATATATCTCTATGCAAAATTGCTTGATTTAAGAAGACCCCAACGAATTTTTTTTTACGAATTTCCGAAAATTTCCGCGGCACTTCGCCTTCCCGCCGTTGTCGACCGAAGGCCTCAAAAATATCGCCGAAGGGGTGTATCAAAAAAATATAATTTCCGAGAAAGAATTTTAAATTTTTAATTAATTTTTAAGTATTTATTTTAATTTATTTGTAATTAATTCGATAAAATACACAAAATTTCAGAAAATTTCTGCAACATTCCCCCGCCCTCCATTGGGATGGGGTTCGGGACTGTCGCCCCAAGCTCGACCGTCCAAAAGAAATAATGGGCGAATTTTAAACCAAAATATAACAAACCTTAATTAATTCTTTTTCGATATTTTAAGTATTTTCTTTCAATTAATTATAAGAAAATACCGAGAAAGAGAAAATAGCAAGATAATTCAGATATATTTCGATCCGACTTTTTAGTGGCACCTCGACGTTGTTATCCAATCATAAAACCCTAGATAAGACTCCCCTAATTAGGGCTTAACTAGCTAGGGTTTTTGAGTTTTGCGCGCAACCGCACGCTCTCCTTCAACACTCGCACCGTCCCAAAATTTTTCCGTCAACTCCTCTCGATATTTGCAATAACTTTGATGGATTACTTTCTCTTAATCCCCTTTTTTCTATTTTACACAAAATTTTGAAGAAAATAAATATATATATATATACATATATATATTTTTTCTTCGCTGTTACATGCTGTTTTTACCTCTAACTAACTCCGTTTGTCCCGTCCAGGGTATCAAAATTACGGGAAAAATAATCTTAACAACTTTGGTCCAAAAAGTTATCTTTCAAAAATGGACCAATTTCCCAAAAAAAAAAAAAAAAAAAACCTGAAAATTTCCAATTAATAAATAAAAACTAAAGAAAAATTAATTTTTTCAACATCTGACCATTAGAATTTTTCGGGAAACGTGTCAAAATGTTCACCTCATCCAGAGGACGAACTTTGTCCCCCCCCAGCTAATTAGCCAGGGCACCTCCGTTGATTGGGGAAGGCCACGGCCTTGGGGGTGCAGTCCCCTCCCCGGCAACGGCGCCAAAGTTGTGAGGAAACCCAGGGAGGGGCGCCTACCGTTCGCCGAAGCCAAGGGCAACGACGTCTGTCACCTGCCGCGCCCGCTTCCGAGGTCCTCGACGACCGACAGGGTTTAAAGTTTGATTCGGCGGTCGTGCCCCCTTGTTTTCGCTTTCCCTATTTTTGGTATCCCCACGAGTTCCCCCGCGACAAGTTCGATCAGTTAATCGTGTGGACTGCAAGTCCGTCCAGCAGTAAGTTTGTATAGTCAACCGAGTCCATTCAGTTACAAGTTTGAACAGTCGTTCGCCATCTCAGCGGGCTCATGCTGGAGTAAGCGACAACAGTTGATCAATCGTTACGCAAGTTCATAAAGCAGTCGATTTCGAAAGTTGGTCAGTCGATGGGCAAGCTCACACTGCAATAGATTTCTGAAACTAATCAGTCCACAAGCAAGCTCATTCAACAGCAGATCACAAAGGTCAACTGAGTAACATTGGCGAGCTCACGACACGACAGGGTTCAACAGCTACTCGAATGAACGCCCAGTCCGGACTACAGCCAGGTTCAACAACTAATAACAGGGCTAGCTCCGACGGCTGCTCGATCGTCTGAGAATTCATTTCCACAGTCCGTGTCAACAGATAGAGCAATGATTAGAAGGTTCAGATCACGGCTAGCTCCGACAGTTCCAACACTCCCATTCCCTGTTGATTGCCTCTTCCCCTCTCGCGTCTTCCCTGCTCTCTCTTCCCTCTTTACTCCTCCCTTAACTGTTGTCCCTCTTCTCGTTGGGTGAACGATCAGAAGTACAAGAAATAAATAAATAAATTTCAAGGGAGACAGGAGGGATGTAATAAGCCCTGTCAATTGTAAGCCCAGGGCTGATCAAGCTTGCCCCATAATCACCTGCAGCTCCACCAACGGTCTCTGGGCAACGTAACTTAGTGGCCCCGGCTACATGCTTGTTTCAAAGTATGATCCCAATAAATTACGAACACTAAGAAAGTAGCCCGCTGCCTCATTAAACAGAAGTTGCCCCCAAAGAGCGGTGGATCGTTCACGTTGCTGATGGCGAGAGAGAAAACATAAACGTTATAATAACACAATGGCGAGGTTGTTCCATTTGTCAACTTCGTGTAATCGTTTCGGCGGACGCTGCCCCGTTACTATCAGACACGTGACTACTCTTAATCCGCTTTTCACATTCTTTAGCTTTCCCGATCATACGCAACCTTGCTCTCGCTTTTCCCGCTCATTTTACCCACGGCTCACTCAGTCCCGCATTTATGCTAACTTTCGTTTGGCTAACCCACTCCGCTTTCGGCTCAACCAGTTCTCTCTTAGCCCCTGTCCCAGTCTCTCGCCCGCTCACGGAGTCTCTCACCCACCCTCTCTATCGGTGTAGCTCACCCCTTGCAAATCATGAAGCGATGACTGAACGCATTATCCATTTCAGTCTCGATGCACCCACCCTGATCTACCGCCAGATGCTCTAATACCAAACTACCACGATCAACCCCGTTATATTTGCGCCTTCTCGAGAGTGCTTGCTTTCACTCAGATTTAGCCGACCTTGCTCTTCAAGGTCTCGTCCCTCGTTATCATGGGGATTAGGAGAAAGCGTACATAAGAATCACTTACCCTTGCAGATGATCGACCGAACCGTTGCGTAGCCGTTGTTCTCGGTGGCTGACAGTAGAAACAGTGGCTCTCTTTACTCTGGAGGAGTGAGCTAGCTTCTCACAGGGAATTGGAGCTGATGACGTCACACGGAATACAGTCATCCCTTCGTAATAAACTGGATAAGTTGGAGTGCACTGTGACTCTCGATCTCAAGCCGTCTCTTCACAACAAGCCCACAGTCTGTAGCAAAGCCCTGAAGTAAATCTCGTGCCCTAGAGGGCGTTGGCGATCTCATCAAGGGAAAAGGGTTGATGCTGCCACAACCGACTGCTCGTGAGCGAACCTTCTCCAGGTTTCCTCGAACATCCCCGTGCGACTACCTTGGTCGCTGCGAGCACAGCGCTTACTCACTTCCTTCGTGCGCACTCAACTGGACGTGCACCCGCTGGTTGAACTCAATCACCAAGCAGCTCCTGGGAACGACTGGCTCACTCAGAGCCTCGTGCATGCTTCCTTGCGGGTGCCTTCGTTGTAACTGCCTGGGGCTCGCTTGCGATCACTGTAGCGAG